GTACTTATTTGCTGCCTGGAAGTGATACATCATGGGACTGTTAGGGCTCTGTGAAAGATTTTTCAGCTCTCTGGTGAGAGAAGCCCATCGAGCATATATGTGTACCCTTGTCCTCTCTCTGTATGCAGACATTTGGTAGAAATATTTTACTAACTGTTTGGAAGTGGAGAGAAAACCTAGTCTGGACCTTTCTATAGGCCATTGGTTTCCAGTTGCAGGTTCTGTTGTATGTTGACCACTTTTTACTAAGATGAAGTGAAATAAAAACCATTCTGTAATTTATAAGGAAAGTTGTCTATCTGTGTTTTATGTGGAAAATCCATAAAATAGGCCTCAGAGTTCTTGAAAAGTAACCATTGATTTCTTAGTTAATATATTTCAGTAAGAATATTTGTTTCCTTTGGAAAGGAAATAAAATACAGTAACTCAGAGGTAATGTTTCCTTCTTTTAGTCCATTTACTGTTGTCATTGAGCAATGAGCAAAGATGTAGCAAGTCCTTTGGAAAGGTACTTAATATTGAAACACTGCAAAACAAGCATAGTAAGTAGTTATAAGTTTGGCTGATTTATGAACAACAAACTGAACAGTCAGCAGCAACCTTAAAGCTTCTTCAGGGCAATCTCAAAGGAAACCACAACGCACTGAAAGAAAGAGAGTTACGCTATTTAAGCTTGCCTGCTAAAGAGAGAGGTTCTGCACACTGTTGTGGTGTACTGGTCAAGGTTTTCCACTTATAAGTGAATTCCAGGATCAGATGGCTTCCTCCATACTACTATTTTTTTTTTAGGCTGGAGATTAGAATTGCTATAATTGCTACTATACACTGTCTATTTGGTTAAAAGGCATAAATAAGTAGAGTCCTCAGAAAGTGATAGGATTGATTTGTAGGACTGCTGCATCAGTACATAATGGCTGTAATTAAAAGGTTGCCAGGAAAGGGGTATGCAAGATGTGCAAGGAGATGATACCTACCTGCCTAGGCACAAGATTATTTAATAATTATTTTAATAATGGATTGTTACTTTCTACTCTAAATTATAAAGTTACTATATAAATCATTCCTAATTTCCTGGTATTATAAAATATGCCTTTTGCATTTCATTAAAGCAACTTTGTGTGTCTAGTAAATTATCATTCATAATTATTAATGACTTTCTTATAATTAAATGGTACATCTCAAGCTGAAATCCATTGGAGAAGTCCATTTGTCAGATGTGCGTTAACATTGGCAGACAGACTCTTCAGAAGCCTTCCAACTCTACGACTATAATAATATAGTTGATATTTTTCTCATCAAAGCTTGCCAGTCAGTCTTTGATACTTTCTTTTCAGATTCTCTGCTTTGAATCACTTCTTTCATGCTAGCAAGTTGATTTTTTTTTTTTGGCACTGCAGAGAAGTATATATATATTTATTGCCTCAGAATTATTCTGTTAAGCAGAATGATGAGGAGGTTTCTGGCAATTCAAATTTAACAACTCAGCTTTTAGCATGTCTACAGTTCATGGGGTTTTAGCTGTCTTTTTCTGTTTTCAGTGTCTTGTTTAGAATTAGATGACCACCACCCCATACCTAACAAATGCTGTTAAGTATATTAAACATACTGTATTGGGGTTGAACAGTAGCTCTATGCTATGAAATCAATTCCAACTTATGGCTACTCATCCCAGAGTTTTCTAAATATAAAGTACTTAGGACTTTTATCAATTTATCAGTTGCTCCTTCTGGGGTTGTTCTGTGACTAGGCAGCTTGCTCAGGGCCTTGTACTGTAATCTGGCTCTTCTCCAGGGAGGGACAGTGAAGAATTAGACTCCCAATCTTTGGTGCTACAACCTGTTGAGCTCTCCAACCTACTCTTGACTGCATTTTGGTCAGTAGATGCTGGCTGAGTAAACACACAACTCTGAGGGTAGCTTAGGCTCATTCTCTTAACATTAAACCATTGTTTAGTATGGTGTTTGAATGTAGCCAACTATGTGTGTGACCACATTAGAAAATACTTTGCAGATAGTTCGTGAATTGGCATGGGTGAATTAAAATTATTTTTCAGTGATCACGCAACGTAAAGGCCAATGTGAATCAGCCTTTTTTCCTTTGAATCGAGATTCCCCCCCATCCCCACAGCTCAAGTGTTTCTACCTTTTTTTGATCACAACAGTGCAAATGGAGTTTTGCCTATGTGATCATTTAATTCTAGAACTCATCAGGGGCATGGCATTGAATGGTTTTCTGGTGATATAGTAAGTTGAGGTATGATGGTTTGTGACAGTAGGAACACCCAACCCCTGATTCTCCTCCCTAGTTGCCCCAAAGTGTTTTTGTTTATTTTTTTAAAAAATGATTGAATCTAGTATTAGATCACCTTATCACTGCATTACTACATTAGTTTATCACCAGACCAACTCTACATAGACAAAAAGAAGATAAAAATCGATATAAAATTGAAACAGGTCTGACGAACTCCATCAGATTACAGTCTTCCATGGTATGTGCACGTGTTTCTATGTATATTGAGATCTTTGGAAAACTGCTCCTTTTCCCCTAATGCCATGCAATCCTTTAAACCCAGGGTCCACAACCCCCACTGGCCTTGGCAGGACTGGGCCACAGAGACTAATCTCCCACCCCCATGCATGCACGCCCTCCACACGCATGTACGCCCCCACATGCACACACAGATGCCCCACCCATGCATGGACACCCCCTCCACCCAGACACTATACCGGTCCGTGGTTCAGAAAAGGTTAGGGACCACTGCTTTAAACAGTCCCAGCAGCTTGGTGGCAGAGCATAAAAGGAGAGCCATCAAGGGGATGGTATCAAAGGAAGAGGTGCTGTGATTGTGGATCGAGCCACATTGAATTGAGAAGCCAGTGTGTGTATTGGCACCACAACAACCCAGAGTGTCCATGGGGTCACCTAGACCAGTGGTTCTTAACCTTTGTTACTCTGATACTTTTGAACTGCAACTCCCAGAAACCCCAGTCAGGACAGCTGGTGGTGAAGGCTTCTGGGAGTTGCAGTCCAAAACTCCTGAGTAACCCAAGGTTAAGAACCAGTGACCTAGACAGTGGCAAAAGAGACTGCAAATCAAGCTGGCTATCACTCTGATTTGACTTGCAAATATAGTCTGTGTTTGTGCATGAGAAAGAACGAGAAATCGAGAAGTTCCTTTACTCTATAAACATTACTTAATCAAGTGGTTCAAAATGTTGTTTTAGTTTTTTCCAGGAGTAATAAGAGGATTCTATTTTTGAAATGTATAATTACATAATGTATGTAATGCATATTTTGAATAGCATTGATGCATTTACAAGAATGCCAATGCTGTTTCTTATGGATTTATTTACAACTGATTTTCTTTTATGAATCTTATATTTTTTGAGTACTATTGACTCATTTCTGCTATTCTTTTATAGACTGGAAGAGCAACCTCGACCATTTTTACTGCACCCATGTTTGAGGAATTCTGATGAAGAAGCAAGATTTCTACAAGCTTGTTCTCAAATTTTGGTGTATTGTCTTCTGCCCTCAAAAGATGCCCAGTCTCTCACCTTGCGTATAGTCCTTGCAGAAATACTTGCATCCAAAGGTTATTATAATAATTGTAATGAGGGTAATAAGAATATAGTAGTGATGAATATTAAAATCATTGTGTAGAACTGGCTTGTCCAAAGATATCCATTGTATGTTCTGATATCACCGCATTTTCAGAAAGCCAGACTTGCAGTGTATTGACACATAGACCATAGGTCTATTGTGAATTATAGTTTCCCTTATAATACAGTCCTGCATGTGTTTCCCTTTTATATTGAAAATATTGTGTGCGTGCATATGTATATCTTCATATGTAGACATAATCCTGTTTGTGTTCACATGAAGTTTCCAGAATCTGTAATGGTTAATTGTAGCTAACTGATGAGGTGCCAGTGTGTCATGTGTTTGATTGTGCAGTTGAGATTCTTCTAAGCATCTTGTTAGTTTTATGCAATTAACTTCTGCAAGTTATGAAAGTATTATATAAATACCAATAGGATTTATAAAGTAAATAGGAAGTCTGCTGCTGAAGATAGTATAGGTGACATTTTCATTTAAAAAACAACAACCCGAAGAAAGTCACATGGTAATTTCATGACACAAATGTAGAAGAATTTGACACCTTTATTAAACCATTTTTTAAAAAATCAGACAATTAATGCAAGGTTTCATGGATTAAAAATAATTTTTCCAGGTGTCCCTCAGTAATTTGTGAACAGTGCAGAAAAATTACAAATGAATGTCCTAAAAATTTATGGCAGACGTTTGCCCAGCATCCTCCTAAAGTTAGTTTAAAGCTGGTTACAAGCAGGCTGTTGGGGTGTAGTTCGAAATTTCCATTCATTATTTAGATAGAAGCAGCCCATGACTTTGCATAAAGCCCCCTCCCTCCCCCACTTCACCTGTTTTTGGAAATTGTGTTCCAAAAACAGGCATTGACGGTGGCAGAGAGGGATTATGCAGAAAGAAGTCTTTTGAGAAAGAGAATCAGTGTGATATGGTCTCTAAGATTGAAAGCAGTCCGTCTCATCAAGAAACCAAAATGGCTACCACTTCTGAACATGTGTGCCACAATTCTGGTTTTAGTTCCAAGCTCTTTTTTTGGCTACACTTTAATACAGTCATTCTCCTGGAATCGGTCAAAGGGATCATCTGTTTCTTGCAAGTCAAAGAAGCAGTTTTGTCTGGATGTGCTTTTTGCTTGAAGGAAGACTTCCCCTGTAGTAAAAGAGAAAATAGCTGAAATCGTGCAATTCTGCAAATGGCATAACTTTTACAAGGCAATTGCAGCAAGTGAAGAAATCTTTGCACACCTTATCTGTTACATGCAGGTGACTTGACTCAGTGTGTAACAGGTACAGTGGTGCCCTGCTAGATGATTAGCTCACAAAGCGGTTTATTCGCTAGACTATGAGTTTTTGCGATCGCTATAGCACTTCGCAAAATGGTGTTTCCTATGGGCGATTTTCGCTGGACGGTGTTTTGGTCCGTGCTTCGCAAGACAGGTTTTTTTTTTTGGACCGTTTTTCACAAGAAGACGATTTTGTTAGCTAGATCCGTGACTCGCAAAACGGGTGTTTTCAGGACCGTCTTTTTGCAAGACAGTGATTTTGACAGCTGATCGGTGCTTTGCAAAACAGTTTTCCTATGGGCGATTTTCGCAAAACGACAACAATTTTCCCCCATTGGAATGCATTAAATGGATTTCAATGCATTCCAATGGTGAACCGCATTTCGCAAGATGATGTTTTCGCAAAACAGCGATTTTCACGGAACAAATTAACATCGTTTTGCTGGGCACCTCTGTAATATCTATGGAGATTTCTTAACTTAAGACAGTTTGACTATAAAAGTCATGCCGTTTGTGTAACTATGCAAAAGGATTTCAGCCATTCTGTGCCAATATTTTGATTAAATTCTAATATGCTAGATTTCACTTAAAGCAGGGCTTGCAGTTTACAAAATAATTCTTATGCTGTAGTCTTCTAGAGACTTACCTGGGAATGAGCTCTGTTGAAGTCAGTGGGTTGTCCATATAAGTAAATTTGTATAAGACTGCACAGATTTTCGATTGATTAAACATTTTTCTTTTAATTGATGACATTTGTGTTTTATTGTGACTTAAATACAGTTGCCACTTGGAGATACTGCATTGTAAATAACTTTATGCTTTATTTAGTAAGTGATGCTTTTACTGTAATTGTTAGAAAGGGAAGGTGGCTTTATTATACATTTTAAAAGCTGTGTTTTATCCTTGGCTGCCATCCAGTGTATGCTTTTGCAGAGTATGCCCACTGATCACTGTGAGATTTGCTTTAAGTAAAAAGGAATAGGAATGAATGTTGAGAACAAATGTTACAAAGTCAGTAATTTTTATTCATAGTGACAGACTGATCTGATTTAGTGCAAATATACATTTTTTCCTATTGTTTCTGTTGTGTTTTTTAACTTTAGTGCTGAAACCAATGGTAGAACTGCTGAGTGATCCAAATTATATCAACCAAATGTTACTTGCCCAGATGGAGTACAGAGAACAGGTGAATGAGCATCACAAGAGAGCCTACACATATGCTCCCTCTTATGAAGAGTTCATCAAGCTCATTAACAGCAACTCTGATGTTGAGTTCCTCAAACAACTAAGGTATTTGATATTTTTTGTAGGATGTTTAATCACAGATTGCTTTACTGTCATTCTTCGAGTCAGGACAAAGTCAGTTACCAAGTATGGCTTTAAATGTTTTTATATGGTGGTTTTAAATATTGCTAATTGTTTGGAAAGCTGTGGGAACTACAGAATGGGAGGAAGAAGTCCTTAATTACCAAAAATCACTGCCACTGGTAAAGTCAAGCTGTTTCCATCTCAAACTCCATCCTAAAGTGGGATCAAAATGGATCTAGATAATCTGTTTCTTCCAAGAATTGCTGGAGCTGGTAGGCCACCACATATACAAGCACCTTGCCCAAGAATAGTGTATTGGAGATTGGCTAGTAATTATCCAGCATGGTGAATTTCAGGGAGGACTTTTTCAGCAATGGTTTTACAACCACTTTTATTTGACAGATTGACATCTTGAAGAGGGATAGTCACCAGTCCCTTTACTCACTCAGCCAGACCACCTTTAGCCATCTTTATGAGCCAGGATCTAGCATACAAGTGGAAGCTTTCACTTTGCCAAGGTTTCTGTTCATATCCCCAGGCTGCACAAGTTGAAAAGCACGCGTTATTACTTGGCAAACCGGAGCCAAAGTTACATCCACTGGAATTTGCCAGTCACAATATCTAAGTCAGAACAGGCATGAGCAATTATAGCCGCAAAGGCCCCAGGAGCACCGATAGTGGCTCATCAGGGCTCTCCGCATGGTAAATGTGGTCAGTTATGTACACTTAGAAATCTTTGCATTGCATGCTTGGAGGTCTGCACTATGTCTGAATGGGATGGGCTCATGTGTCTTTTAAATGTCCCCACACATTTAGTTCATTACACTCTCAACTATAACACCTGAATAAGCAATATTATCATGGTCAAACTAGACAGCTGAACCAGGTACCGCATGTGAAGACCTATCTGTTGTAGTTAAGACTCTGACATAGAAAGCCTTGTTTTGCTGACTACATAGGAGCAAAGTAGGCTCTAAAAACGATGTCTGGTCATGCTAGTTCAGAGATCTGCTATGTTGGGGAAATGATTTTGTGTGGCCTTATTTTATTCTGTTTCTAAAAGAGGATTTTGTGGAATCTGAGCACAGAAAATCCTGAGTAGCTAATTAGGTTAAGTTCCACTTCCAGATTTAAATTCTGATTTCCCTAGCACATGCATCTTCTCTTGTGCAGTGTATCGATGGCCCTGGTCTTTGCAGTTTCCCATTAATTCATGCATTTTGTTAATATCATTGATCGGGCAGTGGAGCTCCAATCTGTATATGATTCTTGGGTAGCTATTTTCCCAGTGAAGACACTTTCTCTTTGAGCAATATTTTGAAAGTGGAATTTGCAATATAAAGCAGGCCTTTGTAGTTAAATTCCGTGTGTAAAGGCTTATTCTGTGTAAGGCTCAGCAGTGAGAAAGCTGGGAAAGTGAGTGTTAAATAATGTTTTAGACATACAGTGGTGCCTTGCCGTACGACCATAATCCGTTCCAGAAGATGGACGTAACTCAAAATGAAGCACCATTTTCCATTGAAATGCATTGCAACACGATTACAGTGGTTCCCTGCATGACGACGATAATCTATCCCGTGAAAATCACTGTTTAGCGAAATCGTCGTCATGTGAAAACCCGTTCCCCATTGGAATGCATTGAAACCTGGTTTAATGCGTTCCAATGGGGAAAATACATCATCGTCCAGTGAAGATCGCCCATAGGGAAACCATTTTGCGAGCGCCGATCAGCTGTAAAAATGGTTGCCCTGCGAAGCATGGGTCCGGAAAACACAGGGCAGCCATTTTGCGAAGCCGAAAAAATCGTCATCTTGCGAACAAACGGTTCGCGAAGTACAGACCTAATTGACGTCCAGCGAAAATCCCTCATAGGAATGACTGTTTTGCGAATCGCTATAGCGATCACAATAAGTTATCGTTATGCAGATTCATTCTTTAGTGGGGTCGTCGTTTAGCAAGGTACCACTGTAATCCGTTCCAGAAGGGGAAAAATAACAAAAAATAAAAATAAATAAAAATAAAACACTTCAAGCCCCATCCGAAGGCGCTTGGGCTGCACAAAAAGAAAACACCAAAAAACAAACAAACAAACAAAAAAACAAGCCCCAAAGGCACTGGGGCTTAAAACAACAACAACAAAAAACCAAAAATAAACAACAGAGCAAGTCTCATTGGAATGTGCTGGGGCTGCAAAAAAAAATCACCAAAAAACAAAACAACACAGCATAGAAACATAACCCCCTCCAGCTCAAACCCACACTGCAAAACCCATCGAGAACAGTTTTTAAAAAGCAGAAAGCAGCACCTTACCTTACCAGGCAGTCCCAAGCCTCCTCCGACGCACTCACTCTAACTGTTGGGGCGAAAGAACTACAAAGAAGCAGCCTCTTTGCCTACCAAGAGTTAGCAAATTTGAATTACCTGCCTTTTTCCCTGCCTTTTTCCAGTTGCAACTTGAATCTCCGGCCGCAAGTCGAAGCAAAATTTTGCGGCCAGAGCTGGTCGTAACTCGAAATGGTTGTAAGTTGGGACATTCGTAAGTCGAGGCACCACTGTAGTGGAATCCTGGGCTGCAGGATATGGTCTAAATTGGATGGATGGAGGAGGAAAAACCAGTGATGGGAACTTGTAGGTTGCCGAATCCCAACACTAGACGTATTACCTCTGAAAAGCTTGAAGTCAGACTAAACCTTAGTAAGCCCTAAATAACTTGGGTCCAAAATATTTTAAAGACCACATCTCCCTCTATGATCCTGCCAGGGTTTTAAAATCACTAGGTGAAACCTTCCTCTTATTCCCACCACCTTCACTTTTGGTGGGGACTAGATATGGGAGCTTTTTATTCATATCCTGTGGGACAAATATGAAGCATGGCTCCACAAGTGCCACAGACGCCCTCCCTCCCCCAGAACCATCCCAGTTCACTCATTGGACTTTGTGTTGAGTGCACATCCGTCATTAGTGACATCATGCCAATCGCAGCAGTAGCCTGGCTGGCATTTCCCTGCCTCTCTCTGCTGCTGATCACTCCAGCAAAGTGGTGGGATGACAGGTCTCCCCACTCAGCTGTGGAGTGCTCAGCACTGCAAAGAGGTGGGGAAGTGCCAGCTGGTCTGCTTCCATGATCAATGCAATGTCACCAACAATGACTGTGCATGCCTCACAAAGCTCAGTGAGTGGACCAGGATGGTTCTGGGGGAGGGTTCAAAGGGCCCAGCCACCTGTGGTGGCTATATTCGTATTCATCTCCCTCAGGAGACAAATACAAATGTCCTATCTCTACTGGGGACACAAGGAAGGCCTTCTCTGTTGCTGTTCCCAGGATCTGGTACTCCCACAGGAGGTCAAGATGGTCCTGTCTTTGCTGTCCTTCCACAAGAGGCAAAGATGTTTCTCTTCAGGCAAGTTTACCTTCAGTCACTGGCTGTCCAAGAAAGGTTCTTAGAACAAGACTGTTGTATTTCTGTTGTTTTTCTACTGTTTTTATCTATGGGTTTTTAAGATATTTGTTTAATTATTTTTAATGTAATAATCTATTGTTTTTACTTTTTTAATATTTATTTTTAATACTGTAAGCCCTCTTGTGTCCTTTTTAGGAAAAAACAGGGGTGAAAATATTTAAAACAAACAAACAAACTGAAGAATCTTGATCCAGTGGTTCAAAGGATAGCTATAAAAATGCTGTATTTGATTCTCCCCATATTTTACAACCAATACACAATTATTTGTTGTACACTTTTTAAATTACATATTTTATATTTTAACCACATAATGTTTTATGAACTTATTGTACATTTAAAAATGCATTTTGTATATTTTAGCCAGATAATATATTTTATTAACTGATTATATATTTTTAAACTTCATTTTGTATATTTTAGCCATAAATACCGTATTTTTTGCTCCATAAGACGCACCTGATCTTAAGATGCACCTAATTTTTAGAGAAGGAACACAGGGAAAATATATTCTGAACCAAATACAGTGGTGCCCCGCATAGCGAGGTTAATCCGTTCCGGATTAA